ACTGTAACATTTATCCACCCTTTAGAAGTCATAGAACTTCATCTTTATATCATAGTGACCAACATTTACTTAAAATTTCAGATCTCTGTTTAATTTGATTGATGAGAAAACCTCTTGTTCAGAAAATAAAATGGAACTCTGATTTATCTTTTATTTTTGATAGGTGCTGACAAAGTACTGCTGCATGCATTTGATGGTCGCCCATCTGTAGCCATGGAAGGAGTAAAAGCCGGGTACTTTTTCTCAATTCCCCCTTCTATCATAAGAAGTAAACAGGTAAATTCTTTCATTACAACTCACCTATACATTGTGACACACAATTTATAATATGAACTTTTATTACATACTGTGATACTAATCTAGTTATATTACAAAAATTAATCTTAGGTCTCTACTTCACACATATATAAAAATTAACTCAGAAAATGGATCAAAGACCTAAATGTAAAAACTAAAAATTCTTTTAAGGAAGTAGGTCTTAATCTTTGTGACCTTTAATTAGGCAATAGCTTCTTAGATATGAAGTCAAAAGTACAAGCAAACAAAAAGTAGGCAAATTGGACATCATCAAAATTTTAAATTTCCATAATAAAAAAATTTAAGACTTTTGAACTTCAGAGCACATTATCAAGAAAGTGAAAATACAACCCACAGAAAGAGAAAAAAAAATTGAAAACCATGTATCTAATAAGGGTCTAGTATATAAAACACCATTACAACTCCATAAAATGACAAATAACCTGATTAAAAAATGGGCAAATGATTTAAATAGATATTTCTCTAAAGAAAACATACAAATGGCCAATAAGCACATAAAAAGATGTTCAACCTCATTAGCCTTTATGGAAATGTAAATTAAAGGCACAGTGATACACCACTCATCCCACTCAGTTTGGTAGTTCCTCAAAAAATTAAACAAAGAATTACCATGTGATCCAGCAATTCTAGCCCTAAGTAGATACCCAAAAGAAATGAAAACATATGTCCAGGCTGGGCATGGTGGCTCACACCGGTAATCCTAGCACTCTGGAAGGCCAAGGCAGGAAGATCGCTTGAGCTTAGGAGTTTGAGACTAGCCTAAGCAAAAGCAAGACACTGTCTCTACAAAAAATAGAAAAATTAACTGGGCATGGTGGTACATGCCTGTAGTCCCAGTTACTCAGGAGGCCGAGGCAGGAGGATTGTTTGAGTCCAGGAGTTTGAAGTTCAGTGAGCTAAGATGACACCACTGCACTCTAGCTGGGGTAACAGAGCAAGACTCTTGTCTCAAAAAAAAGTCCACACAAAACTTATACATGAATGTTTATAGTAATATTATTCGTAACAGCCAAAGAGTAGAAACAACCTAAATGTCCCTCAGCTGATGAATGGATAAACCAAATTTGCTATATCCATACAATGGAATATTATTCAGTCATAAAAAGGAATGAAGCTCTGAGTCATGCTACCACATGGATGAATCTTGAAAACATTATATTAAGAGAAAGCAGCCAGATACAAATGACCACATCTTGCGTGATTCCACTTATATGTCTAAACTA